CTCATTGTCAGAGTTCAGCCTGGACTACATAGGGAGGCCTCTTCTCAAAAGCACACAACAAACTTCCCATATTGATTATGTAAATATAATTGCAGGAATTTACAGTCAATGTCAGGGAGCAGTGAGCTCAAGGGATTCATTTTCTACAAAAAAATTCAACTGGTGCTTCATACCTGAAAGAATATTTTTCTCCTTGTCAATAAAATGTTTCTAGATAGTTTCCATATAGCACACCTTTATGTGGGCTGTAGATGTCACTCGGTAGGTAAAGCACCTGTTTAGCATGAGTGAGATTATCTGGGCTTCCTCTTCGCTTCACTGATTGTTTCCCTTGATGTCCTGTTTACCCACTGATGGTCTTAAATCCTGGGAGAGTGGAGACCTATTCGGAAAATACTTTCCGTCTCTTGATTTTGTAGGTTACTGTGTTTATGTCTAGCAATCTTAGTATTTCAGGTGTCCCATGGAGGTCTTTGATCCACTTGGGTTTGACTCTTGTACAGAGTTATAGACAGATATGAATATGGATGGATTCGAAGCAGATTTCTACCTGAGTTCCAAAGAAGAACCTCAACTATCACTCTTCAAATTATTAAAAGAAAAGAACTGGGTGGTGGTGGCGCCTGCCTTTAATACCAGCATCAGGAGGCAGAGGCAAGTGGAGCTCTGTGAGCTAGAGGCCAGCCTGGTCTGCAGAGCTAGTTCCAGGACAGCCAGAGCTGTTTGTTGCACAGAGAAACGCTGTCTAGGAATACAAAAAACAAATAAACAAACAAAAAAAGAAAGAAAGAAAAGAAAAGAAACAGCGGGAAAACTTCCATAATCCTATGAAGCCAGTATTACTCTCACACCCAAACTAGGTAAAGACACAACAACAGAAACCTATAGGTCAAAATATATGATAAATATAGATTCAAAACTACTCAATAACTAGTTAGCTGTCATTATTACTGCTCTTTATAACCTTCTCTAGCGATGTATATGTGTGCTCGTAAGAGAATAGACCAAAATAGCATTATATATGTCACACATTCAGCAAACATAGAACACTATAATTAAATATGCTTAGCTATGTACATAGGAAGTAGAACACAGAATGGGATTCACATTTAACTACTGTTTTATAGTCCACTTTCTCCTTAAAATTATATTCCAAGCCTTTGTTTTTCTTACTTGTTCCTCTAGGAAAGGTTTTAGTATATTTTCATCAGCTAACTCAGAAGTTCATGTTTAAATTTTTAAATGACTTCTAATTAAAACTGTATTTTCACAATATAAATGAACCCTCATAGTAAAGTTGAAAAAATATTTTTACATTTTTAACACAGAGCATCTGTTATGCAGCTCTATGACCCTCTCTTACTGGAAATTAGCATATATTGTGTTATGAGTATGTACAGAGCACTTTCTTCA